ATGACAGTGAGCTCTGGTGAAAACCTAGCAACAACTGCTGTGGAGGCTGGCTGCTTTTGGTGTTTCCAATCTCCACATTTGCTCAATTTGTTACCTGCAGTGATCACAGTCAGTCTGTTATCTGTGACTATCGCAGTCTGTTTATTACCTACACTTATCCCACTCAGTTTGTTGTCTATGGCTATCTCAGTCAGTTTGTTGTCTGTGGCTATCTTTGTCAGCTGGTTACATACAGCTACCCACAGTCAGTCAGTTATCTATAGCTATTTCAGTTTGTTATCTGTGGGTAACTAATTTTTTATTTATCTCCAAACTGTTAATTGTTTATCTCTGTTTATATCTATTTATATTCCTGTCTCAGTCTTTTTAATATCTATCTATATCTGTCTATTCATATCTATCACAGTCTCTTCACTATCTCTGCTTTTCTATACCTGAATCCTGTATTCATGACATTATTACCCTTTTCTTATTTCATGCTTTGCTTATATTCATCATATTCTTTCTTCATTGTTTTTTTTATTTCCTTTTTACTCACTTTTCTCTCTTTTCTGGCCTTTCCCTCTAATTTTTCATTGTCTTTCTTCCAGTAAATCTCTTCCTTTTTCATCTCTTTACTTACATGCAAATATCTTTGAGAAAGATATGAATCCATCTCTTCTCCTCTTATCTATGGATTAAATAGCAGAACATACTAGGTCTTATAGACTTGGTTATCAAACAGTCTACTGCAGGTAACAACAGCTGACTGTGGCAATGCTTCTCTCAAGTCAGTCATGAATCAAAAAGAGTCATGATCACTCAAGCATATATCACACCTAAGAAAGAAAGGACTTATTTATTCCTCACAATTTATAGATTTTGTGGATATTTTTAGAGATATTAATTGTAGATATATTTAGAGGAGGCATGGTGGAGTAATGGGTAGCAGCTAGGATTGAGTAATCGGAGAGCAGATTTCAAATTCCAGTCAAACCCATTACATTCACTTACATGTTAATACTCTTGGGAAAGGTATGAATCCTCTTCTTGTCCCAGCTATGGGTAAATAGCAGAACAGACTGTGTTCTATAGCCTTGGATGGCAACTGGTGTACTGTAGAAAGAAATGGCAACCTACTGTGGGGAAAAAAATCTGCCTCATCATGTCATGTATTGAAAGATACATGATTGTCTATGTGTGTATCACGTATGGCACATAACTTAGATATTTTTTATGTATTTTTATCCATTCTCTCTCTTATTTCTCTCTTGAAACTTTTTCTGTATCTATTCTTCATCTATTTCTTTCTTTCTACTACAATTTTTCATTATTTTACACCTTTTCTAGTTAATCTATTCAATTCTTCCATTTTTCTTTCTGTGTCTCTTTTTTCTACTTTTCTGTTTTTACTTTTTCAGTTGAGAGATATTTTTCTAAAGAATTGGTAACAAAGTTCTTTTACTTTCCCTGAAAAAGTGAGAGGCCTTTTATCTACATGACTACAATTCTGTCTGATAACACTCTTCAAGAACAGGGCTAATCCAAATGCTATTTTCTCACCAGAAACTGAATGCTTTAAAGTTGAAGTAGACAATACTAAAAAAAAAAAAAAAAAAAAAAAAAAATAGAAGTATTTCAAGAAATTTCAGTTCTTCATATCTTGGTGCATAAACTACAAACATCTTTTTAAATTCTTTAAAAATAGTGATGCCATTAACTCTTTTGAAACAGTAATCTCACAAGTTTTTTAAAAATACGTATTTACACAAAATAAATTTAGAATTTTTTTCTGAATTGACCAAAAATTCAAAGAGAGTAACAAATCATATATTAAATTTTTGAAACACATTATAGAAGAGGAATTTAACACCAAAAGGATGTACTGAGATGTCGAGGGAAACAAGTAATCTACCTAAGAAGTTGTTATAGATAGAGGGCAAAGTAGGAACTGAAGTGTTCAGAAGGGTACAAATGCTGCTTAGAACTATAAAAAACAGAAAACTGTGGAGAGACATGATCTCCCACATCGAAGAAATACTGCATATAAAAGAAGTTGCTTGAGACTGCCAAATAAAAAAAAATAGTAATTTTTGTTTGGAAGCAATTGTTTTTTGGAATTGTCTACCCACTAAAAAAGAGAGAAATGACTGAATATTTTTTACCTGATATTCATTAGTCATGAACAGGCATAGTGATAAGGTCATTGTAGCATGTCTCTACAGATATTGCTAAGCATGCTGACATGAAGTCAAATGATTATATTGAATCAATTGCAAGGTCTGCTGCCAGGAAATTTGATTCATTTTGTGGGGTCTGTCTACCTGGATTTTAGGTGTGAAAATAAAATATGAGTGTCATGCTCAAAAATGCAACACCAAATTATAAACAACATGAAGAAATAATCTTCACAGAAAAACATGAAGACCAAGCTAAATATGACAATATCATTTATACAGGCAGGTACATATATTTACATACTAAAATTCAATGTTCTTTGTTGAAGACATCAATAGTTCAATTGTTTGAAAAGATTTTGTTGTAAGTGAGGAAAACAAGTGGTACTGTATATGAATGTGTGTGAAGCACATGTTAATGAAATATGTGCTTCTGCTGACTGATTCCATGCAGCTGGAGTAATTTTAAATACAGTGAACTAAAAGAGAGAGAAGACAGGAGTAACTTCTGTTGTAGATTTTTATATTTTTCAGCATAGAAAATCATCGCTGAATGATGTATTGTTATGGTAATGTGTGTCTATGCTGCTGATTATGGCAGGGCCTTGTTCACTGACTGTTCCCATCACAGATCCCGTCAAACTGTTTGACTGTTGCCGGTGAGCCGGTTTTATATCTATGGCTTGGTTCTGAATCACTATCTGAGTTTTGCACAGGAATGTACTCAATAAATCAAGCCTCAATTTTTTTTCAGGTCATTTGGAGTTCAACCATGCAGATGTTGGAGAACATCACATAACTTGTCCTATCCAATCAGGTTCCAGAAATCACTTATTTAATTTGGAGCTTTGTTTGTACATAACTGTAAAAAAAGTTTTCATATGTACTTAATTTAATAAGATTTATTTGTAGGTGTTTCTTACTTTGCTTTATGTGCTTCACTTATTGGCCATAAAATATAGGAGTTTATATCCTATAATTGTGTCATTATAGAAATTTTTTCTTATCAAAATTAATCTTGCAAATTTATAACTCTACTATTTGTCTAGGTATGAAATATTTCTGTCACATCTGGTTTGCTGACCAGTCCTGACCTGGCATCTCATTTTCATTCACTTAATGTGGCTTCCCTGTGTCTTTTCTATAAATATTTTCATGGCCATTGTTCTAATGAGAAAACTGTAGGAAGGTTGTTCTACAGAAGGATGCTGAGAATACAATGGATTTATCAGAAAGAGATAGCAGAATGTGTCTGCCCTGCTATACTGCTGCGACATTTGTCTTTTTTTGGTTTTATATTAAAACAAAAATAATCCATTATCAGGATTCCAAGCTCATTGGCTTCAACCCCACTAAACTAGCCTATGTATTTTGTAACAATCTGTATCTGTCTATATTTCTGAGATGAGGCGCTGTAACTGTTTATGTTATTTACTTTCTTGAAGAAGGTTGGAGCATACAACAGCTGAAATAGCGTGAATATGGCAATAAAGATGAGGACAACAGGCTAAATGATGTAAATAGTATAAATAATCATCATCCAGTTTCAGAAAATATAGAAGTCTTATCCTGAAAGTAATAATTGTTAGCACTTTTCTCTGAAACACTATTAATTGAAATATGATGCTTTTATCCCACCAGACAGAGTAATTCTTACTTCACGGCTAACAGACTTTCTGTTTTTGTCACTGTTCTAGAACTATGCACTTGTAGTGAACATAGAACAAAATAAAAAAATAAAAACAATATATTCAAAGATGTCTACACAAAAATACATTTTTCCCTTTTCCTTGCTTCCCCAGCTCACAACCATTACATAACTCAGTCATAATATAGCAAAGAAAGTAGCCAAACAAAAAATGTCAAGAGACACACCTCAGAAAAGAAAATAACCTAAAGAGCAGATTATAACAAAATCAACCAATCAAGAGACAGCATTAAGAGTAACTGCATGCACTCAAAATAAAAGGAGGTAACACTGCATAACAAGTTTCTTTTCTTCCTTTCTCATTTAGCCGGTTCGTCAGTGTCTAGAAGAGTTTTTACAAAGTGGATTTGATAAATCAATTCATAAGTCTTACAAATTCTTCATCACTTATTTTTAATAGTATCATGTTGTAAACAAAAAGTTATTCTCATATTTATAGTTGTGGAAGATTGTTTTGTTTTTTTTAATTCACTTCACCCCAAGAAAGACAATAATGCCACTAAGGGGTTACACAGAGTGAAAGAGAATGAGAAGACTTTTGTGAGGAGAAAGGACAATAAAAAAACAGGAAGTCAGAAAATTGCAATTGATGTTGCATTTAAGTTTTTGAAGATTGTAGCTGTCAGGGAAGCAAGCATTTGGAAGAGAGTTCCAGAGATCAAAAGTGCGAGAAAATAAACTATGAGAATATAACTTATGCCTATATGTAGCTATTTGAAAAGTGCAACAATGAGACCTAGCTGCCAGTCTAGTTGTACATTTAAAGTATATGCAACTTGGAAATGTTGATCATTAAAATTAAACAACACAAAATGTCTGTCATTTTTAATAGTATTGCCTTATATATATATATATATATATATATATATATATATATATATATATATATACTGACTGAGTGGTTGGAATGTTCACTTTCTGACCATGAGACCCAGGTTCGAATCTCACCATGGTCAGTTTGTCAGGAAGAAGACTTCTTGATGTTATTGGTCTGGAGGGGGAATATTTCCACCATGTAGTACCTTTGGAAAGTGCCTGAAAACTATACCATAGGTTGATCCAAGCCTTGTAAGTGAAACTGGGTAGACAGAACACTTGGGGATCATTGATAGCTAGCACAAAGTTACATCATCATGACCAAGGGTTTGAGCATGCTGGTGTTGTTCATATTGTTGTTTGTTCTAGATAACACACTCTCTCCCAGAAACTGTAACTAAGCTCTGTCAGTATAGTTGCAGTATAAGCCACAGGTTGGCTCTGTGGGTGCTGAACAAACACAAATATGCCTGAGCGAGAGTCTGCAATAGGGATTGACTAGCCACCCTAGTAAATGGGTATCCTCATTATTATTTAGTATATATATAATTTAAGGCAAATACCATTAAAAATGGCAGACATTTTTTGTCATTTAATTTTATTGGTCAATTATATATATATATATATGTGTGTGTGTGTGTGTGTGTCTACACACACATATGCCAATGGCAAGTAAGAATTGGATCATATCTGGTTATGATAATAGTAAAGGAATTCCTTAGTGCTGAAAAGTAGTCCCATGTCACTTCTTATCCCAAAGTAAAACAAAAAAAATGTATAATGAAGAAATGTCTATTTTACAATCTTTGTTGTCATTTAGAAAATGTTATTCTTCATATTTGTCATGTGTCAAGTTTCAATTCTAGCAACTCAGGCCATGAATATGGATGATCTTTTGGTTTCCATTAGTTGC